CGCTGATGCCACCGATGAAGGTGACGACGAAAGAGCCGACGACGCTGTAGAGGCTACAGGCGAGGTCGTCGACACGAGCCTCGGCAGAGAGACCGATGGTGCTATCGGAGCCACCGTCCAGTGGAGCGGCGGCAGAGAGGCCGAGGCCGACGGTGCTATCGGCGCCACCGTTGAGTGGAGCGGCGGCAGAGAGGCCGATGGCGTCATCGGCGCCGTAGTGGAGTCGAGCGGCGGCAGCAACGGAGTCGTCAGCGCTGGCCAACGAAAGGAGCAACGGCAAGAGCGACGGCACTGTCATCGGCGAGGCCGTCGAGTCGAGCGACGGCGACAGAGCCGTCGGCAACTCGAGCGACGGCGAGAGAGCCGACAGCGGAGCTATCGGCGAAGCAGCCGACAGCGAGGCCGTCGGCGAGGCCGTCGAGTCGAGCGACGGCGACAGAGCCGTCGGCAACTCGAGCGACGGCGAGAGAGCCGACAGCGGAGCTATCGGCGAAGCAGCCAACAGCGAGGCCGTCGGCGAGGCCGTCGAGTCGAGCGATGGCGACAGAGCCATCGGCAACTCGAGCGACGGCGAGAGAGCCGACAGCGGAGCTATCGGCGAAGCAGCCAACAGCGAGGCCGTCGGCGAGGCCGGCCGCCGACCGGCCTTCGCAAGGGAGGCGTGGAGTTCGTGCATCATCCGCCTCCTGTGCAATAGCGCGTCACTGGAACCATGCATGCACGCATCGTGCTCGTGCCTTGGACCCAACGCAGTGTCTTCAGCCCCTCCTGGCTCCTGGCCGCCCGTAGTGTGAGCCAAAGAGGTCGGCAGCCCGAGCGCCGTCGACCGCACCGACTACGGCACAGCCTCCGGCAGCGCCCGGGGCTTCGCCCAACACCACTTGCAACAGCTCTCGCGCGCCGCCGTCTGTGGCGACGCGCAACCAAAACATCAACAACGCTGCTCGCAACATGCGTGTCGCGCACTCATTCATGACCGGTCTCAATGCCCCACCCCCCTGCGCGCGGGCCTTCTAAGCCCGCGGGTAGTCCCCCCCCATCCCCAGGGCCTCCAGGGCTCGCACCTCAACCTCTCACAGGCCAGCGCACAGCGCCATAGGAGGTATTTTCTTCTCAATAACAAGGCTGTGAGCGTGTGAATTTGTTCTGATGTGTCAACGGCTGTACTATCAGTACTCTAAAAAATGGCGAACGGCGAGCTTGCCTAGCCCGGTCGAACACTGCCCAAACAAATAAATTCCCCCTTTGAGCTGAGAGCTTTTGGGATTTCGCTCCGAGCGACGGTCCAACGAGAATCGTCAAAATCAGGCAATCAAGAGACCGGTAGCCACCAGCATGTCGGTGCGTCTTTCTCATGCTCCCGCGCCCCCCGCGCCCGAACTATGCATGGGCCCGGCTCGCCCGCTTGGGGATCCACCCGGCACATCCCCGCCTCCCACCTGCCGGCTTGCCTGCCGTCAGTTCGCGAAGGATCGCCCACAACTGTCAGCAACAGAAATCCAGCAGTTTTTGGGCTGTCAGCCTCGCCTCACAGCCGACCTTCTGGTCGTACGCGGGTTCTTAAGGGTCGTACATGCCCGCCATGACGTCTTCCAACCGGCCGTTCGCAGGCGGTAGCTTCGCACGTCCCCGACAACTCCGAGAATGACCCGCACGAGAAGTGCGCGTCGGCGGCGCACTTTTCCTCCCAGGCTGTGGCTGCTGCCTTGGCCACCCTGGCCTCCCTCGAGGGGTCGCCAGGACCCGCCGCGGCCCTGGCGCGGCCCACGGGCGGCTTTATGCTCATCGACGCCTTCACCCTCGTCGGCCTGGCCGGAAAATACGCCAGCCGCTCGGGTGCCGCCCGCCTCCTAGAGGCCGAACCACCAGTGCTGTGAGTATTGACGCCCTCCCTGCACCTCAGGCGCGTCCCTCGCCCTCGCCGCCGCCGCCGCCGAGCCCGCCGCCGCCCTCGCCGCCGCCGCCCTCGCCGCCGCCACCGTCGCCGCCACCGCCGAGCCCGCCGCCGCCGTCGCCCCCTCTGCCGGCGCCTTCTCCGCCCTCGCCACCCCCACTGTCGCTTTCCCCCCACCAAGCCCACCACCGCCGTCGCCGCCGCCGCCCAGTCCGCCTCCGCGTCACCGCTGCCTCCCTCGCCGCCGCCCCCAAGCCCGCCACGGCCGCTGCCGCCGAGCCCGCCGCCGCCATCGCAACCGCCTCCGAGCCCGCCGCCACCTAGCGCCAATGCCGTGCTCGATCGGGTACTTGAGCGTCAGGATGCCACGCTTGGACTGCGCCTCATCTCCCACGTAGGAGTCCTTCTGCCCCATCCCGACCATCACGCCTGGCTGACGCGGCCGTCCTATGATGGAGGGGAAGACCGCGCGCGGCGCGTCGTCGCCGGCGAAGCCAGCCTTGCACATGCCGGAGCCGTTGTCGACCACAAGCGCCGCAACCTCGTCGTCAGCCATGTTGTACGGGAGTGGTGGTGGTTATCTACGGCGGTGTAGGCGGCGAGGGGTGACGACGGCGGCGCGGGGCGGTAGGCGGCTGACACCCTCGGCGCCTCGCGTGTTAGATAGCGATGTTTT